ATGTGCCAATCACGTCTCAGAGTTGTTGTTCAATTTTCCTGCGCCTCATGATGATTTGTTCTGATGTATGCAAAGCCCACCGCCCTCTCCAAAAAGTGTACTTAAGCTCTGCTTGACTTCAGCTCTGGGCTCCGGGCTGCTCTCCCTTCTTGAGTGAGCATGGGGCCCCAGCGCACTGGAATGGATCCCCAATAAATCCCCTTTTGCCAATTGCATGGAGCCAGTCTCTTGTGTGGTCTCTTTCTCCGACGTTCCGCCGGACCCTTACAATGGCAAGTTCAAGGCCGGCCTCAGCAACTTAGCAAGGCCCTATGCCACTTAGTGAGACCCTGTCTGAAAATAAAAAATAAAAAGTGCTGGGGATGTGGCTCAGTAGTAAAGGACCCTTGGATTCAATCCCCAATACCAAAACAAATAAACCAAAGAGTGAGCTGGAAGTGTCCTGTCCCATCCATGCTCCTGTTGCATGGTTAACACTCCTTCTGTGCCAGGCATTGGGAAACAGTCTGACTAAACATCACCTCCCCTGGGGGAACTGACTACAGATGACACAGTGGGACCCAAGAGGAGGGGGAGAGGGAAGGGTGAGGAAAAGCCGGCCAGAGGAGATGGAAGGTATTTGTCTGGTGCTATGGTTTAATGTTTGGTCCCCCCTTGTGGTATAAACCTGATATAAGTCAACTTGAAAGGAGAAAAGTTGTATTTGGCTTGGAGTTTCAGAGGTTCCTGTCCATGGTCACATGGCCCTGTTGCTGGGGGCTCTTGGCAGCACCACATATTATAGCAGGAGCATGTAGTAAAACAAACTGCTCACTTCAGGAGCCAGGCAGCAGTGAGAGGAGGGGTCAGGGTCCCAATATCCCCTTCAAGGGCAATGGTCTAATTTCCTGTAACTTTCCTTGTAAAGTTCCACCAACTCACAATACTGCCCTGGGCTGGTGACCGAACCTTTAACACAGGGACCTTCGGGTGATATTTCCAATCCAAACTACAGCACCCCATTCATGTATCCAATCCTCATGTCCAATATGATGGCATTAGAAAGTGGGACTTTGGGGGTGATTAAGTCTTGAAGATGGAGCCTCCTAAGTGGGAATCATGTCCTTACAAGAGAGGCCTGAGAGACCCCTTACCCCGGTGGGTGAGGTCACCATGAGAAGATGGCCATCCATGAAAGAAGCAGGTCCTCACCAGACACCAGATCTGCTGGCACCTGGATATGGGACTTCCAGCTTCCAGAACCGTGAGAAAGAAATTTTTAACTATTTGAAAGCTGCCCAGTCTTTGATAGTTTATTATGGCAGCCTAAACAGAAGATCTTAGGCAGCTGAAGGAAAGCAGAGCTCCAGGAGGAGGGAAATCATGAGCAAAGCCATGGAGGTAAGCAGGACAGGTGTGTTTAAGAAACAGCAGGTGGGCAGAGGGCTAGCACTTGTGGGGACAGCTGGTGAGCAATGTCAGTGGGTCAGAGCCACATGCCCCGGGGTCTGGCTGATGGTATGAGCTGCGGCTGTCAGTGGACGATGCCGGAGGCCCTGGGCGAGGGAGCACCCTGACTCGGTCTGCATCTTAGGCAGTTCACTCTGGAAGTCCTCCAAGGTTGTAGGACAACTAAGAAACCTTTGCAAAGGTACCAGCGAGCAGAAATAAATACATTTTAGGCCATATTATATAGGAATCAAAAGCAACCAGGAATGAAAATCCCACACCCCAGGAGAGTTTCTCTTCCTCCAAACCACCTACCAGAGTGGAGGCCTTATTCTAATTACATCCACTGATGCCATGTGCTCGCTTGTAAATCACTCCCTGTGATTTGGGCCAACCTCTGGAACGGGGAAAAGGATCGGACCTACTCAAAACACACGGCTGCTTTGCCAAGGTGGAGGAGTAGGTTACATGAGGTGTCATCCAAAAATGTCTAAAACTTAGTAAATATCATGTTGGGTAATTCAACAGCCCAGTGGGGATAGCAGATGTCAACCACTCCAGTTTGTCATGTGTCATGTTTGCTATTTAAAATGAGATTCACCTTGTGTATCATAAAAGCCCCAAAAAAGGGAAAGGACACCATTTACCAAAGATATTTATTGTGTTACCTTTCATAATTAACAGTCAAGAACAAATAATAATAAAAAATAAAAACATTTTGCAAGGGGACTAGACATCAGACATACAAAAGAGTTCTTCCAACATTAAAAAGCCTGCTGAACATGCTTGCCCTTATTCTTGGTGGCCACAGCTAAGCATCTGTCACCAGGACAGGCTGTCCCCAGGGTGCCCCAAGCTGTCATCCCATGGTGGATATTTCTAGCCTAAGCCTTCTAATTAACATCAAAAGCTTCCTGGATTCACAAGCTGATAAAGCTGCAAGATGTGTCTTTCCTGTCTTGTTGGAGTGAGACCAGATCTCAGCTCCTGGCAGTTCAAGGGTGACCAGGAGGAATAGAAGCACTGTCCCCATTCTCACTTGTCAGAGGGTGAAACTTAAAGTATGGCAGGTTTTCCCCTCCCCTGGGAACGCTGCAGCTGAGGAGTCAGAGCCTCCCAGGAAGAGGGAGGGGGTCACGCCTCTGTGGACTCAAGAGCAACATTCTCCCAGGAATGAGTAATGGCAGGAGCTTTCCTCTAGATGGGAAATGGTTCTTGTTGCCCCACCTCAAATAAAACAAAACAACAAAAACCTCAGATCATTGTCTTAGTGCGTTGCACTGATGGGAGAAAATCATCTTACAAGTGCTAACAGCTGTTCTAGGTGCATTTAGTTTAATGTCACACTTCTCAGCAAGCGGTGTTCCAGGAGGCAGTGGGTGCCAGGAGAGGGAGGCTGGACCTGCAGCAGGCCTCACTTCTTTATGTCTTTCCAAACACTCAAGGTAATGGCATGTACGTTGGGCCAAGGGCCGTGGAAGGTTCCAAATTTTTATCATTCTAGACAGAAAAAGAATGAAATCAAACTCTAAGAATTAAAGAAACATCCAATAAAAGCATACAATAAAATTAGATTCATAAATTATTTACATGATTTGAGATCGTCAGCCTTTCTCCTATTCTTTGTGTTTGTTTGTTGTTGTTGTTTTCAAGTTTTGTTTTATTTTGTTGTTGTTTTTGCAGTGCTGGGGGTGGGACCCAGGTGCTCTACCATTGAGCCACATCCCCAGCCCTCTCTTTGTTCTTTTAGTCACTTCTTCCCTTGCCCTGCTTCCATTTCCTATCTTTCCTGGCCCCTTTGTTCTATTAATCATTGCCTCTTCTTGCATCTCAGTCCCCTTGTCACTCTTTAGCCCAGAGTCTCCTCTCCCAGGTTTCCCTCTTTTTAACATTTCATTCACGCTAAGCGGTGCCACTTATGATTATCCAATCCAAATCTCATGAGTACAGCTATTCTTCTTGAAAATCCTCCAAAGGGAAATAAGATATCATCTGCCTCACTGGCCTTATCTCTTTCGAAACAAGTTGAGTTGCCAGGGGTGGTGATGTAAGCCTGTAATCCAAGTGACTGGGAGGCCGAGGCAGGAGGATCATAAATTCAAGGCCAGCCTTAGCAACTTAGGGAGACCCTGTCTCAAAATCAAAAATCAAAAGGGCTGGAATGTAGCTCAGGGGTAAAGCACCCTTGGACTCAAACCCCAGTACCAAAAAAAGAAGGAGGAGGAGGAAGGAAGGGAGGAGGAAGAGGAAGAGGAGAAGGAGGAAGAAAGGAGGAAGGAGAAGGAGAAGAAAAAGAAGAAGGAAGAGAGGAAGGAAGGAAGGGAGGGAGGGACGGAGGGAAGGAGGAAGAGAAAGAAAAAAAAAGGACTGAGTTGCCTCAAGGTCTGCAGGAGGAGTGACTGGCAAGGACGGAGCAGGACTACCCTTATATCCAACAGCCCTTTTCTAGGCCTGACCCAGGACCCAGGTGCTTCACAGCTGGGAGCTGGCTTCACAACCACTGGAATCGGAGCCATAGAACTTGATAATTTAAAGGGGCCTTAAGGACATCTAAATTAAGTGGTTCTTTTTACATGTGAGGAAATAGAAGGCCTGAGAAGTTAAGTGTGGGTCGGAAGGCTCAGGGACAAGCCAGTGGTGGCTATTTACAAGAGCAGGGGGCTTCCTCCTCCATCTTTCTCTTTTGATTAAAAATGAAAACAAAACAAAAGCCCATGGAGCAGCCAGCCATGATTTGAGCAGGTTGCAGCCCTGGATTGAGGGGCCCTTATTCTGCCCTGGGGTTTTTTAATATTTATTTTTTAGTTTTCGGCAGGCACAACGTCTTTGTTTTGTATGTGGTGCTGAGGATCGAACCCGGGCCGCATGCATGCTAGGCGAGTGCGCACCGCTTGAGCCACATCCCCAGCCCAGGGCCATGTTCTTTAGACCATTTATGATCACCAGGGATCCTTTAGTTACGAAGTTGAATGTATCTTTTTTATTAAAGTGAGTAAACTTGCTTCAGATTATTTTTACAATTTTAGTAATAATGAGAATGACCCTGCTGGCAATTTGAAACACATAATTTGTCTTGAACTTGCCAAACAGCTGTCTTTTTTTTTTTTT